GCTCTACCAGGCTTGTTAGCTGTGTATAAGACAAGTACAGGAAATCGTTTTTCGTGAGTAATTTGCTTGACCCTGGGCAGACACTGCATACAGACAGAATGAAAAAGAGTGGTCATTGAAGTTGAAGCTGTCTTTATACTTCAGTCAATTATTTATTTGCACGAATGTACAATTTCCTTCATATTTTAATATATAATTAATATATTGTCTTTCTCCTTTTCTTTCATCGCTTTCCATAGGATCTGTTTGAGGTATAAGCCTTTCTGAGTCTCCTCTTTGCCTAATAAAGAGATCAGAGACACATGGTTACTCTCCATCTATTCAGTGCAGGAACCAGATCTCGAACTTTAATATTAGATTTTGCAACTTCAGGATTTTGCAATATTGGCCTCAGTATTTATAAATAAGTTCTGGGTCACAGACTTTGATGCTATACAGGAAAAAAGTTTTGTTTAGCTGTCCTATATAACCCACCTAAGCTGCAGCCTAAATTCTAACTGCACCTCAGCAGAAACTCCTGTGCCAAGTGTCTAGCTCTGCTTTCTTTCCTTTATTCTCATTTTATTGCATCTGAATCTGAAATGATCCCATGTCCACAGAGTTACAATTTGCTAAAGTTACTGGTAAAGTTTGTGCTGCACATGATCTGTAAGGGAGAGTTACTGTAAAGGTAAAGCAGTAGTTGAACAGATCCTGATTAGCACTCGTCCTAGTGTTAATTTAGGTAAGCAATACCAGGACGAGTGCAAAGCAGGGTCTGTGCAACACCTCCAAAGTTCCTCTGTCTAAAGCGCTTGGATCTGAGGCATCATCCAGAAGCCTTGTCTGTGCTGTCCTGTCAGTGAGCTCTTGCTGCTGTGTGTTCTCCCACAGCCTGGTGCTGCTGGTGTTTCTGAACATGATGCTGTTTTACAAACTGTGGATGCTGGAGTACACCACACAGAGCCTCACCACCTGGCAGGGCCTGCGGCTTCACGAGAGGTATGAAGACAGCGCCCTCTGGTGGGCCCGGGTGAGGGTGGAAACAGCGCCCTCTGGTGGAAAAGATGAATCAGAATCGGTTGGGGTGTTTCCCCTTTCATTATCATAATAATAATTACTTACACTTATATAGCGCTTTTCTGGACACTCCACTCAAAGCGCTTTACAGGTAATGGGGTCTCCCCTCCACCACCACCAATGTGCAGCATCCACCATGAGTTCCTAATGGGAAAACTACACAGTGATGATGTTATGAGGTTTATTAATAAACCTTTTTTAGATCACAATTTAATTAGCAAAGCTAAATATTATTTTTAGATTGTGTAATATTTGGAAACCACAAGCCATTCGTGGTATACATGATTTAGGAATAAAACCATTATTGAACAGGTTGCCATTGATTTTGTAGAACGTTTTAGTTACTGACCCCCCATACACACTTCCTCTGTGCCTGAACGTACAGTATTCAGCTTTAAATTATTTTAACTCTAGTTTTGTGAGGAACAGGCTTGTTATAATGAGATGATACATTTATATATATATTTACTGTATTTAATCTATTCCAGCAAAATGCCACAGTCTCAGATGGAGTGGGCGCAGTTACTGGAATCACAGCAGCGTTACCATGACGCCGAGCTGCAGAAATGGAGGGAAATAATCAAATCGTCGGTCCTGCTTTTAGACCAGGTAAACATGTCCACACACACTAGGGACACTGCCCTGAGCACTGCTGAACACTGACAGGGAACATTACCTGAAGCTTTACTGTTTTTGCAGTTAAGCACCTTGATGTTCAGTTTTTATTTCAATGTATTTTTTTAAATGCAGCTAATGTGCACATT